TTCGCTACTGCCCAAATTTCTCAAACTCTCCAAACACCCTCCTCCCGCAATCCCCAAATCCTCAAATTCTCAAATCCTCAATTCCCCAAATCCGCAAACAGCAAAATTTCCAAATTCCAAATCCGCATATCCAAATGTCCACGAAAAGATACTCCCACGCTTCTGATCCTCTCCGAATTTCCCTGAAACCGATCCGAAGCCATAATCCCGTGTACGTCTCCAGCGTTCTCCATTCACCGCTGCCTCCAATATCTGGCTTCAAGCTCGATTCATCCATCGGAATGGGAGTGGGCCGAGACACTCCGCCGAATTCAACTACAGCATTGCCAAGGAAAAAGAGAAACAAACCGAAACGAAGGGGAGAACAAGAACACCAGCCGAGTAATATCGATGGTTGTATGGCTCGTACGTGCTTGTACGAGCACCTTACACTGGCTACGGATGATCACACAATTTCTTCTTTCGCAATAGCACTGTGTCGAAAGTACAGATTGTTTCTGTAGTTTTCAATGGTAACTGTAAACGGAATACACTGGAAATACACTAGGATTGTTCTGTTTCAAGAAAAATAGATTAGATGTGTAGGATAGTCAGTAAAATAGTCAGATGTAAGATAGGTTAGAGTAACTAGGATAGGTTAGTGTAAGACAGTTTATGACAGGGTCGGTACGACGAGGTGCATAGATTTAACTAAGGTGTAAGGAAGCCTAAGTAGTAGCTTTATGTTTCTTATGAGAAACCCTTTTGAAGAAACTTAGAGAGAAAGTATAAATGATAAATTAGGGGTTAGTCAAAGTCCTTCAAGAACGTCAGATGAAAAAGCGTCATTGCATTGTGACTTGATGTCCTGTAAAATGAACATCGGCTACCATAGTACATGTCACTTTAATATTTTAAATGTATACATATCTTTAGTTTTAATTGAGCGTTTGCACCTAAATAATCCTTCGATTGAAACTTTGCTTGTTACAGCAAGTTTATTGCGACTGATCACAAACGCTTTCAAGAAGCTTTCTCTCGAGCTATTACCAGGTCTTTAACGACAAGATGCATAATCGACCACTGTTGATTTACAATGTTCCTTACAAAGGAGAGTTAAAGAGGAAACCGGGTCAGATGGTTTTAGTTGGAAATGAGGATGGCGACAACAATAAGGAAGGAAATTCCAGCAGTAACGAAGGGATAACCATAAAGTCGGTCTTATCGCCAGCACGCCATTCTCCGAGCATTATCACGGAACCGATACACGATCGACTTTCTCTCATTTTCTTTTTCTTCGGAGACCGAGACGAATGCGAATTTCGCGTCCCGTTTCGCGGCACACGCCAAACACGTTCGAGGAGAAACATTATCGATTCCGTTTTGCAAGGGCTCGATGAAAAATTAATCGCACACCAGCGAACCCTGTTTCCGGTCTTTCTCTGTTCGTGTAACCTGTCTTCCTCTTCGTAGACACGTGTCCCGCCTCGACGCAGCATCACGCAAATCATATTACCTTCGACTCGTTGAGTCGAGCACGCGACCACGCGGACAAAGGAACGAGCACGGATTTTCACGGTATCTCGAATCGGTCCCCCTATTTCCAATGGAAATGCGCCCAACTCGGGAAATCGAGCCAGACAAATTTCTTCGCGAGGCCTCTCGAATACAGGGAGCCATGATTATTTCGCGAACGTGCACCGCACGGTCAACGATCCAGCTTCCGGGTCAATTGTTCGAAGTCTACCGATTGGTTCTTAACGTAGCCGCGATACAGGAAGTCGAGCTTATCCGTCTATTTCCACTTTCTTCGTTCTATCGGTTGACGCGACCCGCTTAGAAAGGGGATGCTAAGCGTACCGAGAGAATATCTGCTCGAATTTAGCATAAATAATGGCGGTACTAATTAATTCGGAACTTGGAGAATTTAGGAATTTCAGCAGTTTAGTTCGGTGGTTTAGAAATTTCGGTAGAGCGATTTGGTAGTTGGGGTAACTGGAAATTTAGGATTTTGGGAAGTTGGTGATTTTAAGAATTTTTGGGGAAGAATTGATGAATATGAGAATTTAAAAACCTAGGGTTTTAGGAATCTGGGGACTTAGAAATCTTGTGATTTTGGAAAATCAAATTTCCCATCTACTCGAGTTTAAATATCTCTTACTTCACAAATCCTGACATTTCCAACTTTCACATTTCAGAATCCTAAACTTCCTAATCCCTAAACTTAAAACTTTCTAAATATCCAAATATCTCCCAAAATTCAAACTGATTGAAAGTTTAAACTGACTAAGAAATACACGAACAGTGCTCTTGAAATATTCCCTAGAGAGCGCTGTCACCAACCATATCCAGATGTATATTCGAATTTCGTTCGCTATCGATAAAACCGGTGCAGGCAAAGTTAAACTAATTCTTACGATCTCAATAAAATTCGGTGTTTGGTTGAAACGAGACAACCGGAGGTACAAAACGACGAAAAAAAGGAGACCGTTCCGTCGTATCAGGAAACGAACGGTGATTTTTATTCTCTATGCAACACAGGGTGCCGTTGTCGTCCGAATTTCTCGCAGCATCGAAGCGAATAGACTTCCGTTCCGAACGGTTCTCCGATTTAGACGCCGTTACCTTTTACATATGGAACACGACTTGCAAATACGAGCGCAACAATCACGACTCGACGTAGTTCCAATTTCTCTACCCTTTTCCAATCCAGCTCCTTCCTTTTCTCTACGGACGTGTCGCGTATTACGATTGCGATTTTCTTGCCGTACGATTACTTTCGCGACCGACGTTTCCCCTTCGAGCGACGAAAAACCCTTTTACAGACGGATAAGCGAAACGCGGGGGCGCAACCTGCTCCAAGTGGCTCGATGCTGCTTTATGGTATAATTATGTTAATTCGTTAATAAAGAGATCCGACGAGTTACGCCTCAGTTGATGCGCCTCGTTCCCAGCTTTCTTGCTGACTTTTTTCGCGGATAGCGGAACGGGATGCGGCTTTAAAACGGGAGCGTTTAATGGTAATTTTTAAATGGATGTAACGAGGGGAGTCTGAGAGAAATTTTGAAATTTTGGGATTTGGGGACCGGGGTTTGGTAATTTGGGATTTGGGGAGTGGGATTTGGTGATTTGGAATTTTTTGGGGGGAGTTTGGGGGATTTGGGATTTGGGGGATTTGGGATTTGGGGGATTTGGGATTTGGGGAATTTGGGATTTGGGGGATTTGGGATTTGGGGGATTTGGGATTTGGGGGATTTGGGATTTGGGGAATTTGGGATTTGGGGAATTTGGGATTTGGAGGATTTGGGATTTGGGGGATTTGGAATTTGGAGATCTTGAGATTTGGAGGATTTGGAATTTGGAGACCTTGGGATTTGGGGACCTTGGAATTTGGGCACCTTGGAATTTGGAGACCTTGGAATTTGGGGACCTTGGAATTTGGGGACTTTGGAATTTGGGGATCTTGAGATTTGGAGGATTTGGGATTTGGAGACCTTGGGATTTGGGGACCTTGAGATTTGGGGGATTTGGAATTTGGGGATCTTGAGATTTGGAGGATTTAGAATTTGGAAACCTTGAAATTTGGAGATCTTAGGATTTGGAGACCTTGATATTTGGGAGACTTGAAATTTGGAGATTTGAGATTTTTGCAAACGTAAAAATTTCTGAATTTAATGAGTCAACAAAAGACTGACTTGTTACTCAAACTTAAAGATCTTAAGAATTTCAAAAATTACAAAATCAAAAATTGCACCCCAAATCTCATCTATCTTAACCTACCCAAACCCGCTCAAGCAAAATTTACAAATCCAAAAAATATAAAAATTGAACCAACGAGTCTAAAAATTTGCATACACTGAAAGAAAGTGTAAAATACGATCGATTATACCGAAATAAAATGGCGTGTGTTAAATCGGAGGAACAAGAGAGGCCGGTATCGATTTTCCATGATTTAGGCGCGATTCGAGGCAGGAATCGCGCTTACAAGGTCTAACACATCCGATAACGAGTTAATAAAGTGGGTCCTTTATAAAGTTGTGCTGAGAACGGACAAATCGATAACGACGTCGTTAGGAGACATTGGTTGCGGTGACCGTTATTCGCACGGGCGTCCGACGCTTTCAATCGACCCGCTCTGGTCGTCCAAGTGAAAACACGAATTAACTTTCGACGCGGTAACCCATCTATCTCGCACGCTACATTAACCAACACCCCTTCGCGTCACGTGCTTTTTCATCCTTTGAATATTGTGTAATGATGTTTGACGCTGTACCAAAGATGTCTTTGCCGTGTTGTTGTTGTTACCGGGCGTCCGACACCGTTCGTAACGAGAAAAAGGAAAAATCGAAACGTGTACGCGCGAAAAAACGTGCATATGCATACCCTCCGATGTAGAGTACAGGTTGTTGGTTTTTATTTTTGGGAAATCATTTATGGACATTTTGGAGTGATTAGTTTTCATGGAATACAATTTCGAAATTGTTTGAATTAGTAAAATATAGTATTTTATGATAAAATATGTACTTTGAATGTTTTGTTGATATTTAAACATATTAAACATTTTAAACAGAGTAAACGTATTAAATAGGTTAAACATTTAAACAGGTTAAACATATTAAACACATTAAACGCATTAAACATATTAAACATGTTAGAAATATTAAATATAATAAAGCATACTAAAGATATTAAAATAACAGCAAACATATAGCGCTACATATGATTAATGACGGCGGCCATTTTGAGCGGCCGCAATTTAAAAATGGCTGACATCGTACCTTTTATAATTTACCTAACCTCCATGCATTCTGTTCATTATATCAATAACTGATGTAGTAACCATTATGACTAGTTTACAGTCTACAAAAGTAGGAACTAGTTGCACTTTAGTTTGACTAGTTTTGCTACATTTGCAAGATTTACTAGGTTTACTAAGTTTACTGGGTTTGCTATGTTTATTAGCTTTACTAGGTTTGCTAAGTTTACTAGGCTCACTAGTTTTACTGGGTTAACTGGCTTTACTATGTTGAGTGGAATTTAGCTTTACTAGCTTTGCTTGCTGCAGAAGCTTTATTAGCTTTGGTATCTTGACTAGCTCTACTAGTTTTAGTCATTTTACTAGCTTTACTAGCTTTAGTAGCTCTAGTAGTTCTACTAGCTCTCGTAGCTCTATTAGCTCTGATAGCCCTACTAGCTCCTCCAGCTTCACTAGCTCTTGTAGCTTTACTGGCCCTAGCAGCTGTACTGATTTTATTAGCTGTACCAGCTCTACTAGTTCTCCTAGTTTCACTAGCTATACTAGCTCTAGTAGTTCTACTAGCTCTGATAGCTCTATTAGCTCTGATAGCCCTACTAGCTCCTCCAGCTTCTCTAGCTTTAGTAGCTTTACTGGCCCTAGCAGCTGTGCTGATGCTATTAGCTGTACCAGCTCTACTAGTTCTCCTAGTTTCACTAGCTATACTAGCTCTAGTAGTTCTACTAGCTCTGATAGCTCTATTAGCTCTGATAGTCCTATTAGCACCTCCAGCTTCACTAGCTCTAGTAGCTTTACTGGCCCTAGTAGCTGTGCTGATTCTATTAGCTGTACCAGCTCTACTAGTTCTCCTAGTTTCACTAGCTATACTAGCTCTAGTAGTTCTACTAGCTCTGATAGCTCTATTAGCTCTGATAGTCCTATTAGCACCTCCAGCTTCACCAGCTTTAGTAGCTGTACCGGCCCTAGTAACTGCACTTGCTCTAATAGCTGCACTAGTTCTAATAGTCCTACTAGCTTTGCTACTTCTAATGGCTCTACTAGTTTCATTACCCTTAGATGCTCTAACAGCTTTATTAAATGTAATTGCTGTGCTGCCCTCGCTACCTGTTCTAGCTTTATCAGCTTCTCTTATTTAACTGCGCTTACCACATTTGCGATGTTACTAAATGTACCCCGTGTAGATTTATCAGATTTACAATCCGATTCCACTACTTACACCAACAAACTCGTCCTTTTGTCCCCAAAGTTTCAATTCGCCGCGGAAAATCGAGACTGCGCATTCAGCAACGTTCCGTGCATCGAATGGTCAAATGTCTTATCCAGTTACCGTAACGAGCGCAAACTAATTAACAAGCTATAAGTCGATTCCACTCGACAACGAATTCGAAGCTGCGCACGTACCGATTGGACCGATCTGGAAGTTAACCCTTGGCCAGACGCGACGTACTAATTAAAGGGCAACTTCGGAATGCAGGCTACGGAGAGCACGTTCATACATACACGGAATATTTGTCCGTGTAAATGGGACCTTTCCTCGATGCTCTATTCACCAGCTGACTATATGTACGACTCCACCGAAATCTATCTACATGATTCAAGATTATATCTTTCGGAGAAGTAATCTGCATTAATGAACGACGTCTTGATTGTATCGGAACGCTTGCGGTGAATATATTTCGTCTGAACGATTTGGTAACAACGGTTATAGGTTATGCTTAATGTATACTGTCGTGATGGGATTGATAATTTTGCAGGTAGGTTTGTGGATGAATAGTTAAGAGTTTGATTGGTATTTGTGCTATTGATGAAGGAGGTAGAGATCGGACTTGGAGATTTGGGGTTTAGGTGTTTGGGCTTTTGGAGATATGGGGAGTTGGGAGTTTGGATATTTGGAGATTTGGTGATTTGGCGATTTAGGGGTTCGGAGATTTAGGGGTTTGGAGACTTAGGGGTTTGGAAATTTGGAGATTTAGGGGTTTGGAAATTTGGAGATTTGAAGGTTTGGAAATTTGGAGATTTGAAGGTTTGGGAATTGGTGGTTTGGAAATTTGGAAATTTGGAGATTTGGAGATTTGGAGATTTGCAGATTTGGAGATATGGAAATTTGGAAATTTGGAGATTTGAAGATTTGAAAGTTTGGGAATTGGAGGTTTGGAAATTTGGAAATTTGGAGATTTGGAGATTTCAAGGTTTGGGAATTGCAGATTTGAAAATTTGAAGATTTGAAGATTTAGAGATTTGAAGGTTTGAAAGTATAAGCACTTGCAAATTTAAGAATTTAAGAACTCAGAAACACAAAAATTTATGAACAACTACTAAAAATTTGTAAATCAAAGAACTTATATACACAAATTTTTAAGAATCAGAAAACCTAAAAATCTAACAATTTAAGAATACTTGAACATCCGTATACTTATAAATTAGAAAATGTTTAAACTGCGTAATTTACAACGAAATTTCTAAATCTACGTCCGCCATTTTGCGAGTAAAGCAGCATAAACCCCGGCCTAATTTTCTCGACCGCGTTAAAAAATTGCATACAATCACTCGAGTACGGCATTTAAAGTTGCTATGTTTAGAAAGGACGTTGATATATTTATGCGGAAAGTATAATAACACGTTGACAATCCTACCAACCATTACCGTACAACGATCCCTGCAACGTAACTGCCTTCTTTTCGTCCCATGAAAAATTGCCTGCATCTGTAAGTGACGACGATGGAGTGTAACGCAAGGCTTTCTGGGTCTTCCTCGTGTATCACCGGTTTATTGTGGTGATTCTAAGAATGAACGACCGGGTCTTATACGGATACAACTACCGTGCGATTATTCTCTTTCGTTTGATTGATAGATCGTAGGGAGTTGGTGCTCTGCGATTGAATGTCTGAAGTATTGGCTGTATCCCATAAAATCAAAATAGCATATCAATGCAACATCGACGTTCATGAATACTAGAAAATTTCATATTTTTAAATCCTGAAATTATTACCTTCGCCTTTCAAATTTAACATCTCATCCTTCGAACCCATCCAAACATTTCGAATGATAAAAAATTGTTGAAACTAACAAGACTTCCTTTTCCCATCGAAAATCCGAAATACAGAAACGGTGTAAAGTGGATACCGGAAGGAAAACTTTAGTCGCGAATTTGACCCAGATCGAATGAAAGGATTCCCTTCGTCGTAGATTTTCTATCTTACAGATGGATCCGGTACCTTCAGAAATAGCGATTGAAGCAAGGAAGAAAAGAATCCGCTCCATCATCTCTCAGCGGGTAACTGTGCCACGCGTTTAATACAATTACCCAGGTACGATCCTATCGGAATTAGATCGCATTGAACGGACCCTGAATTCGGTCTCAAATTTTCTACGATTTTTTTCCCCCTCAGAAGGCCGAAAGTTAGCTGACTATCTATTCAGAAAGTTCCATTCGCTCCCCCTTAATGACCCGATCGAGCAGACGCAACATTTTATTGACTTCAACCGGTTCCATCGAACGGCCAGAGGCTAATGGACACTTCGTCGAATCGTAAATAACGCGTATAACGTTTTATGAATTTTTGACGAAGCGTTGCGCGACGTAAATATTCGATGGCGCATCGAAAACACTCGATTGGACGCGGTTACAGGGTGGGAAGAAAATAACAACGCGTTGATAATCCGTCGGACTGTTTACATAAGCATGTTCGATTGAATAATAAGCACGAAAAATTTGCACGGGATGCATCCGTTATTGATTAAGCCTCGGGGACTCAGCGTAAAGTAAGGGTGCCCTCGCGTAGGGAGCTCGAGTGGTTCCCGAGGGTGTCTATCCGTCCGTACGTCGTTCTCTCCACAAGTCTGAGAGCATATCGTGTACCCAGCCAACGAAAGACACATAAGTGTTAGCATGATCCTCCCTACCCGCTAACAATGTCGCTGACATGAGACAGACTGAAAAGGGTGGATTTTCTCTGGAGTATCAAAATGCACATTCTGTGGATACCGGGTCGCTGCTACGAAATTATCATTATTTTTTTTATATTTTACTTCAAAAATAAAGTATAGTCGTTTTTTTAGTATCACTTCGTGCTTCATAGGAGTTACACAATAAGTATAGCTAGACCTCATATAGGTAGTTATAGTATAGGTAAAATATGTGTTTGTATTTTATATGTATGTGCAGCAAGACGTATTTTGCTTTTGTTGCTCACTGAGGTTTTCATCAGTATGGATTTATCTGCTGGACAAAGTGAAATAATTATTGAAGACAACAGTGGATGAGTATCACTTCTGTAAATTATAATTTTTAGCTACAAAATTTAAATTCGAAAATTTCAAGTCATTCAAATACTGTAATTCTAAAAGGTCTTCTTAATGATGACAAAATTTCAATCTTATAATTTAACAAATTTTTGTTTTTCAACAAACTTATAATTTAATGTCTCAAAATTATAAAATTCATGAATTAGGTAATTACCAAAATTTCAAAGTATTAAGGTCCCTTTAAAAAATTCTGTGATCCCAAACTTCCATTACCCCAAAATCTAGAAGTACCAAACCTCCACTAGCCTAAAATTTTGTCCTCCCAAAATCCTTTAGTCCCAAGCTTCTACTACCTCAAAATCCTATACTCCTCGACTCCTTAAAAATCCCACAGTCCCCAACACCTACCCCAAAATCACAAAAATTCCAAAATCCCAAATTCGAACACAATAATTCCATAACCCACTCCCCCAGTGATTTTCATTCGTTTCCAATCCCCAGCGCATTAAATCGACATAAGTTACCGCGTTCATAGCTTTCATGTCCGCTCACCATACACGCAAAGGGTCGAAACGTGCCTCGCTAAGGGTGAGAATCGAGGGGACAAAGATATATTTTTTACGAATCGACCCCCTATAAACATAATACCAAGTACTTTCTGCATTTTACAGTAACCGTGTTTTTTTCTTCGATGGATGATACTTGGAGCAAATTGAAAGTTGAAAACTTCAGCCTGCCCTCTCGAATTTATTACCCGCTTGTAGTCAACAAAGTTCCCCTGTCGAAACTCGATTTTCGTTCTGACGATCCGATGCCGTCTTAAAATACGACGAGCCAGCCATTACAACGGTGACTTTGAAAAACTGTGTCAGATGTACAGGTAATAAATTCAATTGAATTCGCAGGAACGGGGACGAAATAACGGAACCGTATCGAACGTGGCTGAACAAGAAGCTTCGCCAAAACTTTGACACACGATGCATCTTCGAAATTCCGAAGTGGTATGATTTCGTGACGGGGACCGAAAACCTATGCTGCTTTACAAGTATCATCGCCAGACACGTTCCGAACATCAATTTCTTCACTTATGTCTCTGTAATCTATGCTCCTGCATTTATCTACCGAAGCTGGAATTTTCGGGGACGTTTGTGTCTCCTATGCAATTGTGGACATTAATAAATAATGATTTGATAAAATTTTATAGGTTAGGTTTATTTTAAAATATTTGTTACAATATAATTAAATATAAAATTAAATTAAATATGTAAAATAATTTAATTGTATAAAATAATTGTTATGTCAGATTATTGTATTTATGAGTTTGCAGATTATAACAAGATTTATTAAATTTTATTAGATTATGGTAAAATGTTCACATACGGATCATTTATTCTGTAAAATACTTATCATTAATTCACAGAAATGTGTTCATTATTGATTAATAGAAATATCGATGCGTATTAATTAACAAAAACGCATATTGATATTTCATTACAAATTGCAACAAATGCTAACCTATAAAATATACAAATTAATTCGAAACCAAATAATACGAATCACGAAATATAAAATATGGAAACATTAAATAAAATATGAGATACGACAACAAAGTATGAAATATGAGAACATTAAGTACAATAAAATATTATTTATTTGCTGTTATAAGCATAAAAGTAAGGTTCAATCGGGGAAGCCATCTCGCAAACCGAAACTCGAGTAATAATATGAATAATGTCGCAAGATCGATAAATTATAATTCGTATTTCTCCTTATCAAAACAGGAGCAGAAGGCGAGGTAATTTATTACATACGCCACAGTGCACATATAAATTTTTATGTGAACACATATTTACCTCGTTCGTGCAAACGAATTGATGTTCGT